TTCTGTCTGTCTGTCTGTCTGTCTGTCTGTCTGTCTGTCTGTCTGTCTGTCTGTCTGTTTCTCTCTCTGTTAAAAAAAGAAGAATAGCAATAACAAAGCATCCGCGATAGTTCACACGTAATCTTATAGATGTTGCCATCGGCACTGCAGTATAATTTTTTTCCCAGTTTCTCAAATAATTCTTTTAGAACAATATTTGCCCCCACTCTTCGTGTAAAAGATACTTAAAGTCCTAAAAATAGTATCAAACCTACAGTTACAGTCAAACACGCTCTAACAACCATATCTTCAAGACTGTTACCTGAGCTTGCATATTTTGTATTATAATAGAGTATTATAATGACACTGCCCCAGATTACCACCTGTCTAAGACAACGAACCTCATCTTCGACAATGAGTGGTCGTCTTGGACAGGTTAGTCGCTTTTAGCATATACCTTTTTAGTTAGTGCATCAGTCAGCGGAACCAACCATCTGGAAATGTATAACTTCTGTATCTATATAAAGGTTTCATTTGCATCCAGTTTGTAGCGCAATGGTAGCCGTGAGACATGTCCAGTGTAATTTTGACTCCTTTTCAAACCGCCCATTGATACCTGCTAGGACCGGCGCTTACTGTTATGCAAACATGTCTTTGTTGACCTTGCTTTTGGTGCCACAGACCTTCGGGTCGGGTACGCGCACGTCGATAGGATCGATGCCGCTTTGGCATGAAAACATGTTACTCTCCGGAAATTTGCCAAACATGCGGCTCTTGGCATCGTAACCGACAGGGATATATGTGTCAGTAATCGTATATTAAGTAGGGTTTTTTTTCTTCCTTAAGCGCAGTGCAACGTATTGTCTCTATCGTCGGAAGGGAATAGTTAAATAGAGCCCATTTTCTATGAGGTAATTTGAAGCAAAGAGAAGTGTTTGTAGTAAAAAATGGTACGCGTACCAAACGATCGATCTGATTCCAATTTTGATCCTGGGCCTGGATCCATTCACTGATTTTTTATCAGTACGTCCCCACCTAAATCTGGGATAACAAAAAAAAATCTCACTTTCCAACCCTGTTGTAAATAATAGGTTTATGGTAGCAAACCCCCCCCCCCAAAAAAAAAACAAAAAAAACAAAACAACAACAACAAACCAACAACACAAAAAAACCAACACAAAAAAACAACCAACATACCCACATATGCTTTTTTTCTGATCTCAATTTCGTCGTTGTTGCAATATCTTAAAAGGTGAATAATAGTAGTAAAATCCAAGGTCTCATGCCCCCCTGGCTGACAAAGGGAAAAATCATGTTCTGTAACAAGCTTACGCCCACTTCCGCTGTTGCAGGGAAGCCGAAATCCGGATTTTTTGATAGCGCGGTTTTTCCCTTGTTAGCTGCTACAACATTTCGTTTTCCTTCTTTTTACGCGTATTCACTGGCGAGATGTTGGGATTGCTGTTGGATCGATAACACCAGCATTGGCTCAGCGAGTAACAAAAGCAAAAAAACAAACAAACAAACGAAACAAAAAAACAACTGTTCTCCTGATAGAGTCCAAAGTGACCTTGTGTTCATTAGACTATGCAAACACTTACGGTCAGGTTAAAAACAATCCTACTTCTTACCCCCCGGGCGGTGCTACTGACTGAAGTGTCTTTTGGCCATTCCCAAAGGGGGTGGGGACATTAACATCTCTAGTTCTTATGCACTGTAGAATTGTAATTGTAAATGGGCTGATTCATCAATGTCATGCTCATAACTGTGCCTGAACTTCAACAGGGAACTGCTGCTTTTTCTTTCATAATCCTTACTGTCGTCATTTTTCCACTACTTCTTTTATATGTTTGTCACACTCTTGTGGCTCGCTATTTCCGGGGTGTCTTGATAGTCGAAGCAGACTTTGTGCTGTTGAAGCTAGAGAGGTGAGCAGAGTAAGTCTGATTCCCTGTAAGGACTTCTCTGTTTTCATCCACCCATTGGCGCCAGTATGACCGTATGCAGTTTGCGAGGGCCGTAAATCCTCTACTAAAACAAAACAATCCTACGTCTCGAGTCTTTTGAAAATGCCAATTAACGAAGGCTGAGATTTTTGGCTCT